TAATTTTTTTTTTTTTTTTGTGGGGGGGGGGGGAGGGGCAACATCTAATACCTTAGCATTCAATGATTAATAAATAGTAGATATACACATATCTAACAATTTCAGACAACATGAAAATACATTAGACTTTGAAAAATGGACTCATGGTTACAATGCCATGTCATAACAAAGAAATAACCAGGAATATCTAGGATTATGGCAAAGTCAGAACATCTTTAGCAATGTATACAGAAAACCATCCTAAAAAACCTTTGTTGTCTGGGAGTTTAACTTAGCAGTATGGCATCGTCTGATGTTGAATATCTGACATTCTACTAACTAAAAGCAGACGGCAATCAATATTTTAGCACCAAAAGAGGGCCGTTCCCAAGTTGACATCGAAAATAAACTGCATAATAAAAGCTAGAAGAACTTGGTTTGGTTGGCAACTGTCTACCTTAATTAAATAAATTCTCTCGTCGCATTTGCGGTTTGCCAGCTCCCAGGCAATGTGTGCATATTACACGAAATTCTGATGCAAATCTTTTTGGGCGAAGCGCCGAAGAAACGAATTATGGTCGACTGACTCAATAAAACTCTGAAAGGTTTAGGTCTAGTTGTTGTGGAGTGGCTTAATTCACTGAAGGGGAACAATTCAACATATTGCCAAAAATCGTATCACGCTGTGTTATGGAACCTCAGTTTCAGTTTCAGTTTGTAAAGCCGTTTACTGTGCACTTTCGTGCACCGGTTTTGTTTGCTGTCTTTTGGCTGCCCATCGGCATACACTCGGCTCTTCACAGATAACCGGATGTCACCACGGCGCCACAGATATCTCAAGTTGGCAGTTGCCAATCGAGCGTTCTGTATGCGAGCTGACACTTCATCTGTGATGCGTCCAGACTTTGAACTTCTTTGTATCTTGTACTCTCAGCGGCCAGGTTTCATAATGGTAAGCGAGGATGGGTCGAATGGAAGCTTGATAAACACGAAGCCAAGTGTTTAAGCTTATTCCTTATCGATTCCGCAGTTTCAGTTTCAGTTTTTACAACCATTAACCATGCACTTTCGTGCGCCGGTCTTGGTTGCTTTCTTTTGGTTGCCCATTCGGATAAAAGAGCAAAATGAAGATTGGACTGTCGAGCAAATTCAAGCGGAAGATGGGGAATTCATAGAGTGGTGTTAGGAGAATAACGAGTGGATGCATGAGCGCCACTGTTTGCGACACCCAGCCATATCACAAAGTGTCTCTAACCATCGGTTACGATCATCCCGATGTCCCCAGCCAGGGAGCCTAACGGGGCCTATGTGACCTAGTCTCCTGGTTAGTGTTTTCATACCCTCATGCCAGGTCTTAGTTTGACTACCCTTTATCTTATTCCAATCGCTACCAGCCTTGGCAAACATTGTTCGCCGCGGCAAACTATCTGGTGACATACGTAACACATGTCCCAACCAGCGTAATCTATGGAGGTCGACTACTTGCCTAGTGGTCGACCGCAACTACCTAAAACTCTACGCCTAACCTCAGCATTGCTAGTACGGTTACCACACCAGATTCGTGCAATGCGACGTAGACAGCGGTTTCCGAACACCGTCAATCTATTTTTATCCTATTCCCTTAGTGGCCAAGTCTGCACCGTAGAGCAGGACTGACCGAACTGCTGCAGCATACACTCAACCCTTCACAGACAACCGGATGTCGCGACGGCGCCACAAATGTCTCAAGTTGGCAAATGCCAATCGAGCCTTTTGTATGCGCGCCGACACTTCATCTGTGATGCGTCCGCCGGGTGAGATGTAGCCGCCCAAATAACAAAACGTACCCGCCTGCTCTATTATTTCCCCAGTTAGTGTGAGCCTAGGTGCTGGACCAACCTAGTCTTGTAGTAACATTTTCCACTTTGAAAGTGCAAAACGCATACTGAAGATCGCTACGCTGGCACTCGAGCTATCCAGAAAAGCTTGCAACTTACCTGGAACCTAGTTAGTGGTTGACGCATTCTCTGTCATTTTAAAAGTCCTGCATCTCCTAATCGACGGCTACCGAAAAAGGCCCTAATGAGATGTAGTTGGCATAAAATTGATTGCCATGTGATGCATTCAAGTACGTATAACCGCAGCAGAGTAGACTGTGGGGGATAACACTGGTTGAACCAGGTTGTTAATCCTTCCGAACAACAAATACCGTTCCCGGATTTGATTCTCAATGCATTTCGTATATATACATTGCTGATGATAACCCAAAGGATGAAACCAATGTACAATGTTTTGAACATCTTTTATTTTGGCTGCCATGATATGGAAGAAAAATGTTCATTAAGCTAAGTTCTTTCAGGAACTACATAATGCATAATGCGTTTCGACGTTTCCATACTTTATTTTTAGAAACTTTTGATTTTGCTTATTCACTTTGCAGCGTTACTTAATCCAACGCATGGCGATTTTTTTCCTTTACATCACGGTAAGCAACTTGCATTAAACTTGACTAGAAAATAATTTTATTAGTGTGGTAAGTCAATGATAAATCATTCTGAAGCGGTATATAAACAAAAATCAACGTCTATGGATCAGAACAAACAAAATTTGCGATACCCATGTTTCATTAATAGTAGTTACAGAACTAAACAATAATTGGTAAAACTAGTGTCCATAATAAAAAGAAATACTCCACTTGCGGGGTGAAAACGTGAGGAAGTTAGAGTAGGATCAATTCGTTGATTTTTCATTTGAAAACCTGGAGATTACAAATTGGATGGCGAATACATAAGATCAGAGTATGCACGC